TTTATGGTCTACATTAATTTTGTCAACGAAAATTCACTAAATTCTTGCTGATTCACATGCTTTAATTGTGGCAACAAATCTGAAAAATGAATTTCTTTATGAATGCCTTAAGTTAGTGACTTCATTTGCTATTTATTATTTTATGCTGTTGATAGCTGTTTCTTTGGGGCTATTGACCGGATAATTTTTGTCATTTTCTCCAGCTTGCTTGGACTTGTTATAACTTTTACCAGTCTACTCCAACAAAATTGGCTGGGGAAAATTACTTCTTTCCTTCTGGGCAGGTTAACTATTCTGCTTTTTTCCACAAAACAAATCTTACAACATATACTATTTTGCTTCTTTTTTTTTGTTTTTATTTATCGTTTTTATTATATTTATCTTCAGGACTTATCTGTGGGTACATCATGGAACATCTTGAGACCAGAGACAGTTGAATCATTGTTTTACCTATGGCGTTTAACTGGCAACAAAACGTATCAAGAATGGGGTTGGAATATATTTCAAGCTTTTGAAAAGAATTCCCGAATAGAATCTGGATATGTTGGACTGAAGGATGTAAGTGCTCCCAAAACCTAAAAAGCCACCTTTTGTTCAGTTTTTTCTTTTTGTTTATGTTTATTGTACTTCCACTTGACGAGGGCCATAGTGAACTCAGAAGTACCTGTCAATATATTGATGTTCTTTAGGAATCTTCAGCCATGTAGCTTTAACCAAATCTTTAAATAAATCTGGACTCTAGGGAAATTATTCAATGCTCTTGGAGCTGGGTGCTCCATTGCATAGCTGTGAGGGCCTTTTATGTATGCCACTTGTATGTCAAAAGGGGAATGGTGCTCCTGGAGTCCTGAAAATTTTGCAATGTTCTGCTCTCTGTTGAAACCTTCTTGTGCTAACTGTTTCTATTGTTCTGTAAGTAGTTTTCTTGTCGAAGTACTGTATATTAGGCTTGGAACAAACATGCTGGGTTGTATTGCAGTTAATGGTAGCAGATGCCGTGGATAGAGATGAGGGTGTATGTTTGGTAGGTTGTTGACCTGAACCAAAACATCATCTCTTGGTGAGGGGTCTGTGTTTGACGGATTCGAGCTGAACCAACAAGATATAACTATCATTGTCATAAGTGTTATCTTTATCATCAGTGTTTAAGAGCCCCAAAGCATGAAGCAGGATAAACCTAAATTATTTTGATTTGATTCTTTCTTCTTATTAGGTTTTCCAGGTTTAAAGAACATGAAATCAATGCAAAAATAAAAATATTAATGTCAGCTTATTCCTGTCAAATAGTTACATAAAATAAACGGCAACAGATATACATATTCTAACATATTTTACTAATCACATAAAAACATGTTTTTAATAGTTCATCTGAAGCAAATGTTTCTTTGTTCTTTAACTTCCAATGGACTGGGCCATAAAATTATTAGGTTTATGAAGATTCTTATTTTTCAATTCGTCTTATGGCCACTAGGTTGACCATATTGAAGGGGTATTATAGCTACTTTGTTAAAACGTGCTAGATATTGTTAAGCAGTTTTATCTACTTCAACCTTGCCTATTTTTTCCTTGAGGGTGATACCTTTTCAAGAACAGAGCCCAAAGATTTCTACACTGCGATTGATTCAGATTTATTCAATTCTATATCTTAGTGATTGATATTAGGAAGTTAGTCATAGTTTCCACATTTGATAATAATTCAACTTCTCTCATATCCTTGCTTGAGGTTATTTTTATATTTTCCAAGCTGTCATTTTGAAAATGTAAAAAAGGGAAAGATATTTGGAGTTATATGGTCATGTAGCAGTCTTTATGACCTCCAGTATGGGCTTTTTCTTGAACCTCAATATGTTTGAGGATATGTTCTATTTCTTTTTCGTATCAATCATCCCTCTTGATATTTTCCATATGTGCAACCTGTGCTTATGATGGAAAAATTCACTCCTGCATTGGGAGGGTGCTCTTTTACCTTTTCCTAACATGGAACTTTTCACTGCTATTTGTTGATTTTCCAGGTCAATACCGGAGTCAAAGATAACATGATGCAAAGCTTCTTTCTAGCAGAGACACTGAAGTACCTGTATCTTCTTTTCTCACCTCCTACAGTGATTCCACTTGATGAATGGGTTTTTAATACAGAGGCTCACCCTCTAAGAATTGTAACCCGTCATGATGGAGAAAATATTGAAAACTTAGATAGTACCCATAAACCAATGATTAGGTTACGCGCCAGGAAAGAAGGTCGATCGAAGAATCATTAGGCATCCTATTTTTTGGTTGTCCAAAATTTTTTTTAACGCTGTAGTGAATAGCCAGGGAGTTACATGTCACAGTAATGAGAATTAGATTGATGGTGTGGAGTCTCAGCAGCATCCAGAGTTCGTGAATTTCTTCATTTGGGGCTGCTAGGAATTGTTGTATCGTTTGACAGAAAACTGGTATTTTATCAAATCCAATATTATATGTAACATAGGAAATATCGCCTACAGCAACTGTTATCTAAAGGGAAAAGGGTTTCACCCTGTTAGTTTATATCCCATTTATTGTTTTATGAAAGAATGTTTCTCCTTTCTTGGTTCAGGTATACCAGATTTTAACTCACTCTTTTCATGTTCTCCTTCTCATTTTGAGTATTGGTAACTTCACAGCTAATTGAATTCTATTCGTTTGGTAAGGCTGTTTGAATGTATAGAGTTGGAGGTGTAATATGCTGTAAGATTCTCTTATCTGGACATGATGGACAAGCGAATTTGAATTGAAAGTTTTAGATATTATCAATCAACTGATCCAGATGAGAACGATTATTGTTTACTCCTAGATTCATTTGGGAATTTTGATTCAAGTAAACTTGTATCTCCTGGAAATTTTACAGAGAAATTGAGAGATTAAAGAAGAGAATAGAACTAGAAGATGAGAGATGAGAATGATTGAAATTAGACACCCACAAAGATATATGAATATATACACATACAAATTGTCTTTTGAAACATATGGCAACTAAGATATGAAATTTTTTCTTTGAGCAGTGAAAATTATTTAAGAGTAAGAAGGAGATTAAAATTTTTAAAATGTTTGATCACGCAAGTTTAAGCTTACATTTATATATTTACGGTCTTTTACATTTTTCTTTTCTTTATGCTCTTCATTTCTCCAGGTATGATATAATATAAGATCTGGAAATGAAAGGCACAAGATGATAGTTCCAAGATTTTAGCTGTATGATTGTGGAATTTGCTGTCAAGGATGGAAATATATAGATTTGTACCTGTAATATGCACATATAGAGTTTAAGCTCACAAATATATTATTTTATGTGTCAAAATTATATAGATGTAAAAAAATTTCTAAATTTGGAAGAACTATTACATTTAAATTTAATAAAATCATCTCAATGCTCCTTGTTTAAAGTTAATTATAAGAACTGGATAATTACGAAACTCAGAATGCATAGATTAACTCCTTCATTCTCTAAGTTGACTTCAATGATAAACTAAAATTGTATTGTCATTACCTGTAATAACCCAGTATATATAATGAATTTCGAATAATATTTTTCTGTTAAAAATTTACCATTGACAGAGATGAAACTCATCAATGGATATGCAATTGTATGCATAAATTTTTTGATATATTAGGGTCATTATTTATTTTTAAAAAAATTTTAAAAGGTAAAAAAAAAAAAAAAGAAACATGAGTTGACAAGAAAAAACAAGACAGACAAGAAGACAAGAGGCATTATCATAAGCTCTTAATACACGTCATCTTCTATCATCATATTTTCATAATTTGCATTGAGACTAATGAAAAATTGATAAGCTGAAAATACCTAAAAAGAAGTTAATCCAGATCTTGTCAATTAAAATAAGTAATTCTGCTAAATAGTTCAAAAGGTTTTTGAAACTTATATAGTCTTTAAATATTTTTTAAAAGAGCTCTTTTTCTTTTGAATGAAATTTTGACATTTTCTTTTTAATTGAAAAAAAAAATTTAAAAATAATATAAAATTTTATGAGTAAGTAAATCTCAAATTGTGTTAATCTTAACTTAATAAGATAAACAATTAGAATAAAAGTATTTGTATTAGAGAATTCAATTATGTTTTAAATGTTTGTTATCATTATGTAGGTAATAACTTGTCATTAATATGTTATATGACATACTTTTTAAATTAAAACTCAATGATCAAAATTTAAAAATATTCATAATCTATTTTCATACAAATTAGTACTCTAATTTTCTCTAATTAAAAGTAAAGTTTCTTCTATCTCATTAAGCACCACCCTATTAGACTCAAAAGATAAAGGAGGAAAAAAGGAACATGAGTTTTGCAAGACCTAATAACATGGACATGTATTAATTATTGATGTGAGAAAATTTGTTACCAATATTTCTAAGGATGCATATTATAAAAATTTGGTGACCCATATCATTAGATGATTGTTGTAACTTTAAATATCATAAAAAATTATTTGATATATGATTTTATTAAGTAAATTCGTAAGATTTGAGACATTATTGCAATAAAGATAGAAAATAGGAATACTGAGACAAACAAGATTATTGTTTAGCCGAATATCCAGTGTCTTGTACCTAAACTATTTCAGCCAAGTCAATTCAGCACTAAACCCTTATCACAAGTTTTGTCTACTAGAGACCAAGTCAATTCATACCATATAGATACCACTTTTATATTTAAATCCTTGTAGGATTTTATTGTTTGAATAAATTCTTTTATTTTTAAAAATGTTTTCAAATAACCCCTCTAATTTTTTTTTTTTTTTTCCTTTCTTTCTTCTTGCTTTCAAATGCTTCCTTTCTTCCTCATTTGGGCTCCAAAACTCTCTTCTCTGCAGCTCTTTCTCCATTCGTCTCTCTACAGTCACCTCCACAGACTCTCTCGCTCTATCTTATTCTTATTTGGATGTACAAAGAAGCCATGATCTCTCCAAATCCACTCTCTCTTTTCTGCGTTTTAATCCTTTGCTTGACTCTTTCCATATGTTTCACCATCAACACTTCCTGTCCGACAACCACCATCCCCGAAGTGTTGGCGGCCATGGAAACCCACTATCCATTGTACTCGGAATCTGCAATACCTGCAAAATCCTCAAAAGTTTAACACCAGAACCTCCCTCTCACCTTCTTCCCCCCGCCGCTACCTGAAGACAACGACTCATTTTCTTCCAGGTCACTCAACAATACGAATGCCACGTATCGTTGAGTTAACGGCCGGTATATTTTATGTATATTATATATATATATATTTAGAAATGTTGCCATCTCAGCTGCGTGATAAATTTGAATCCATCGTCAATTACTTATTGAAGAAAGAAAATTACTGGATTTCAATTGTGCGTTTTCACAAATGTTAGGGCCCTGCACCTGTTAGTGGATTTGGTATCTGAAATCTGAGACGGCATATTTCTAAATATATATATAATATACACGTGACTGCACGATCCATGTAGGGAATGAAGATTCGAAGAAACTTCTTATAAGTGGCTATAACTTGTTACCACGGCGGAAAAAGCAATGGCTCTTCTCTCTCTCCTCGCTCAATCTCTCAGCAATATCCTCTTATTTTCCAAATAAGATTGTTTTTCTACTCTTCAATTTGGATAAAATTATGCATCTAGTGGCCATGGATTCTCCAAGTTACTGCTGATTCTTGCTCCTCTCTCTCTCTCTCTACCTTCTCCTCCATTCTTACTGCAAGAGGCAGGTGCTTACTTCGGGCTTGAACCGCTGCAAATGATAGCCGGCTATGGCGGCTTATTGTCATTTCAGAAAAAAATATTTGGGATAGATTGTATTTATGAAAACTTATAGGGACATGATGGAAATTACCCATTTTTTGTTTGTCAATATGTGCGCGCGGGAAGTTTCGAAGAAACTTCCTCTGTCTTTTTCTTTTTAACTACTTACTATGTTTATTATCTGTCTTTCTGAAAAAAGCTTTTGTTTAAATTTCTTTTTGTCAGTTCCTCTCGTGGCGTTCGGATGGTAACTCAGATGAGTCTGTCTCGTCATCGGTCCATTGTTGCTTTAACGGAGCGACCTCTGATAATCGCGTCTTCATTCTCCGGTAAAGTATTCATGGCTAATTTTATTTTGGGGAAAAAGACCCAGCTATTTTCAATCTGTGCTTATGGAGTGTGACAGGATACGCGTTTACGTGTTTTTTAATTATTTGATTGAACTTCAGCATTGTTTTTTTCGCGCGAACAAACAGCAGGGAAAAGCTCCGCAATTCCCGCACTGGCCAACCAATAATCCACGGAATTGACAATATTTGTGTTCGTCTCTGAGTTTAGTTTGCATTGTGATTACTGAAGAAACTGCTGCTCTAAGCATTGTGTGGTTTGTGAGAGTATTCAGCTCTCTCTCTTTTACTGGAGAGGGATTGAGTTGGAGATTCATTTCATGATCTTTGTTACTATAGCGGACTCTTGGTGCCATCAATGTCTGGTCTTCACAAAGACATAGAGGCGGGTTCCCTTCAACCTGAAGAAGAATTCAGGGAAGGACTCGAAAATGATCCTGACAATCCCTTCGATATTGCTCACACCAAGAATGCGCCCGTCGAGAGTCTCAGGCGATGGAGGGTAAATAATTTTTTTCTCATTCTCTTCTTCATTGTTTGTTGTGCTTATTGCCCTTCTTTCTTTTTATGGGTATACATTGTATTTGGATTGTCTTGTTTTTGTTGAACAAGAATTTGTTGTCATTAAATCTTCTACTTGCTTTGGCAATACATGGGAGAGGCGTATCATTTTCACGCAGTGCTTCTGTATCTGCTGCATGCAAGTGCATTTCTTTTGTAATGGTCAATGCAAAAGGTAGGAAAACTTTATTAGTTTCTCTCTCTTTGATCTGGCAACTTCTACCCCTAAGAAATATCCCATTAGTCCTGGGTCCTTGATTTCAATATCAGTGGCCACAGTTTTCTTCAATCTCTCCATTTTTTTTAATGTTATCATATGTCAGAATTATGTCTTCTACTTAAATGGTCAGGATTGTTTTCCTTCCACTTTTAGATTATCGAAATAAAATAATGTGATCAGAGTGCCTTGTTGGTATCCTTTTTATCACTTTAGCAAACCTATCAAACCATGCTGTTGGTTATTGTCTAAGCTCATACAGAGATTTCTTTAATTTACTGACCTGATCTTTTCCCATATCGAACCCAGGTGGCATTGTTTTATATACCTCTTTTTCTGAGTTGGTATTAAGAAATGCATTCTTAACGCCCAACTGCCGAAGTGGCTAATCTAGAGTGATTGTCAATGAAATAAAAACTAAAACTGAGTTTGAGAGAATCCGGTTGAACTTTATATCATTCAATTGAACTTTGTATTTCAGTGCAAACACCCATTTGCAGCCAATATTCTTTTTACCTTTAGACAATGTTGTTACTTCCTAGGTTACATTTGTTTCAGGGCTTTCATCTCTTCCATAACTGCCTTTCTTCACTAAGGAATCTACAGTACTTCCTGTATATCTTTTAGAACCATTGTCTTGTCAAGATTAAAGATAAAAGTATTGTATCTTGTAGATAAAGCATCATAAGACATGCATTTTGAGTTTCTAAGAGCAATAAGGAGACTCAAATTGACGAACACATTACGTGAGAAAAAATTATTCAAACCAGCAGACCCATTAGGTAATAAAGGATTACTTAAACTAGCAGACTCATAATGTGATAAAGGATTACTTACTGCTTGTTCTAGATCAGACTACTTATAATTGGTTAGAGCTATCACTGGTTTTGGTTCTTAGTGTTTCAGGTATGAAATCCTCATTATACTTTGTCTTTAGTCTCCATAAGTAAACCAATTTTTCTTTTCTCCTCTTTTGTTCTAAATATCCCCTTGAGTTTAAATACCCCCCCGGAAGATTATTTTTAAAAAAGAAAAATTTCCCCTTGAAGATTTGTTTTCAAAGTAAGGAGTGTTTTCAGAACGATCATTAAGGCTGACAAATACTCGACGTGTAGATGAACCATAGTGTTTGTAGCTTTTTGTTGTAGGCGAGTATCTAATGAAGACACATTTATGGACTTCTCGATCCAACTTGTCGTGATTGGGAAAATGATCATGAACAAATACTGTACAACCAAACACTTTGAGAGGAAGACCTGCGCCAAGACAATGACATCTCCTCAAAATATTTTTAGCATATTCATAGTGATCATTTGGCACGAGCAACCTCTAGTAGATATCGATTTTTTTTGTTCGGAAACTCCATTTTGTTTTGGGGTATTAACAAATGAACATTGATGAATAATTTTATTTTTTTTAAAGATAATCACCCAAAGTTGAGTTAAAATATTCTGTCTTTATCAGTGTGTCGGATTTGTATCTGTGTTTGGGACTATGTGTCAATCATCAAATGAATATTGATGAATATTGAATGAACATCTGTCTTTTTTTTAGCAAATATACCCAATATACTCGAGTGTGATCATCTATGAACGTAATAAACCATTTTGCATGTGTTCGATTAGGAGTACGAGAAGGGTCCTACATATATCACTATGAATAATGGAAAGGATTCAGAGGGTTTGTATTCAAATTTTGGACATGGTGCTCGATGGTATTTTGCAAGTTAGGACACTTTATATTGGAATTCAAAATTCTTTTTATTTGAAAAAAAAAAAAGATGGAAAAACACGTTTATGATATTGGAAATTCGAATGACCCATCCATTAATGCCGTAATAAAATTTCATTTTTCCTAGAAGTAGAAGCAAAACTACAAGTTGAAATTTGATTTTGGTTTTTTTTTTTGAAATAAAAAGTGTATATATTAATAGGGCACCAAATGGGTACCACCCATATGTAAAAAATTTACAATCGTGTTAAAATATCAATGACATTCCCAAAATTCTCATCTCTAATGATGTCATGCGCTAATAAAATAGAACCAAAATAATAAAATCATCTATCTTTCAACCTATAAGTCAAAGTTTCTGTACCCTCAAAAGCTCTATAATTTCTCTCTTTCCATATGACCCAAAAAATAGTTAATAAAATCAATTTGATACATTTTTTTTCTTACATAATCCACCACAAGAACAAATTTCCTCCCTACGGTACCTGCCATCATCCAATTAATCCCTAAAACTCCATAAATCATGCACCACAGATCATAAGTCATAGTACACCACAAAAGAAGATGGTTACATGACTCCCACATTCATAGGTAGCATCTGTTGACTAAAATATGGCCTCTGGACATCAGCTTGTCAATGTTCAGTATGCATTCCCTGCTAACCTCCTAAGCGAGAAAAGCAGTTCTATGGGGTGCTTTTGATTTCTAGATCTGTTGAACTAGGTATTTGTGGCTCCTTTCAGACCCCTTCCCTTCTAATATGGTTGTAGTAAGACTTGACAGAAAATTTTCCATTATGATTCAACTTCCATAGCACCTGGTCTGGGTCATTATTAAGCTGTTGGGAATCCAGAAGATGCAGAAGAGCTTCATAATCCTGAATCTTCCAATCATTCAAATTTCTGGAAACGTTCACCTCCTAAACCCTACTGCCATTGCTTTCCCTGTAAGCCTCATTTACAACCATATTTATTGATTGTGTGATTGCAAAAATACTTGGAAGCGGCTCATTAGACACCCTCATCGGCCCAACCGTCCACTAGATCTGATCTGTCCCTCTCACAATTTTCACCGAATGCGCTCTCAAACGAGGCATTCCATC